TTTACTGTACATCTGAAACTACTACAAACAATATAAATTGTAAACTGTAAATGAAAAATTAAAAAAAAAAAAGAAAAAATTGTGGAAAGACCTAGAACAAGTGTAGAACAAGAAACCACCTAAGAAGAGACCTTGAAATGAGGGAATTGGGTGAATGTCAGTAAGGAGGGAATTCCAACTAGAATAAGAGAAGTGCAGAAGAATTGTTGGGGGGAAAATATTGTGATAAGAGGTGCTCTGTGTCTCTACTGATGAAGTGTAATGTAACCTTAATAATACCTCTTTAAAGACCTATTCTTAGTACTCTGTGTTCTAAGAATACTCTTTGGTTAGAATATAAAGTGTTTTCACAAAATAAATGATAATAATAATAAGAGGAGGGCATAATAAAAGGAAGAAGGAAAAAGAGAAGGCCAATATCACTTAAAATTATTCATTAAAAATATTGTTAATGCTACTATAATGATACACACTCAATCTCTACCCACCTTCCTCCATCACCATCCCTTCCTCTCCTTCAGACAATCCCCACATCATTGTCTGTGTCCATGGATCATGAGTAAATGTTCTTCAGTTAATCCTCTACTATCTTTCATCCAGTTCTCCCCTTCTCTCTGGCAACTGTCAGCGTGTTCCATATATCTATGCTTCTGTTTCCATTTCGTACATTAGTTTATTGTGTTCATTAGATCCCACATACAAGTGAGATCATGTGGTAATTGAAATTCACTGACTGGCTTATTTCTCTGAGCATAATAGTATCCAGGTGCATCCATCTTGTTGTAAAATGTAAGAGTTCCTTCTTTTTCACTTGTGTGTAGTACTCCATCGTGTAATTTACTACAGCTTTTTTATCCACTCCTCTACTGACAGAAAAAATAAAAGAAGGAGGGGGCCAAATGCCACTTAAAATTATTCTTGACGGATACATGCACTTGCAATAAAAATGAGGTCTGTTGGAAGCAGTGCTGCTAAACAGGAGAGTACTACATTGTGTTTCTGTGTCTTGGTCCCTGGGCCCAAGGACAGAGGAGTGGTAGCGTCTGCATGGCATCACACGGTGCTAGGGGTCAAAGAAAAACAGAGCCAAAGCTGTGTCAGGGCCGGGCCTCCAGGGAAAAGCCTAAAGATGAGCTGGGGCTCAGCTGTGGGAAGAGTTCGATCTGCAAGCCAGGCGTATGTTATACTTGTTTTTAGTCATTCTTGAGTTTCAGCATGATCTTTATAAATGTTAATGCCTACTCTTTGTATATTGAGAGAAATTAAAGTATGTATTTCGTATTTGTGAAATATTAAAAGGGGGTTAAATGCACCCTCACAGAAAAGATGGCCATCACATCAAGAATTTGCAAAGATCATTGTGGTCTCCAAACCCCAGGCTGTACTTAGGTTGTTGCCAATGTATAATTATAGGGAAGGAGCGGAGTACCTTGATCTAAAGTCAGACACCAAAGATTCCACGATTACTGCAATGGGAATATGTGAGCTATAGATTTTGTATCAATCAGGTGATATTTGCTTAAGGTTGTCAGATGTAGTCATAATGTTACTTGCAATCAGAGCCTGAAATCCCGTCTACTTCTAGTCATATGAAGATGAAAATGAACACTATACATTTTAGAGAAGAGATTAAATGTTTATCTAACTATGTGCATGCTAACATTCATAATATGTACCAGTGTTCATGTAAAAATCCTAATATGTACACTTCAGAATGTGACTTTATTAGAAAATGAGGGCTTTGTGAAGGTTATTAAGTTAAAATGAGGTGTTTGGGTGAGTCCTAATCCAGTATCACTAGTGTTTTTATAAGAAAAGGGTATTAGGACACGGACACTCAGAGAGAAAAGAACAGGTGAAGACACGGGGAGGATGGCTCAGTACAAGCCAAGGAGAAAGGCCTCAGAAGAAATCCACCTGCCTCTGACTTGATCTCAGACTTCTAGATTATGGAACACTGAGAAATAAATTTTTGCATATAAGCCGCTAACTACTCTCTTGTACTTTGTTATGGCAGACCTGGCAAACTAATACAATCACTATCAGCATAATTGTAAATATATATGTGCGTGTGTATCTGAGAATGAATTAGGTAAGAGTCAAATTAAAGACAGTTTTCCTCCTATGTGGAAACAGTTCAGGTGGACTTTCATTATGATCTTAAAGAAAAAGGTGTATGAAAAATGTAAAACACTAATACACAAAAACAAAACATTTTTATTATAACTTTTTGAGTCTTAAAATTTAAGAGTACTTAAAATTTTATCAAACTAAAAAAACATATTAGTATGCAGATGTGAGAAGCTAGAGATCATGAGGACTTGAAAACATGATAAGACAACACACAGCATGGTGTATCCTCTAAAATTATGTACTGATATATGTCAATTCTTTCTCAATGAACCTGGGGGAAAAAGAGAACACAGAAATGAACTAGAAAGAAAACAAAACTATATAAATCAAGGATAATTTAGTAAATTAGAACATTGAGTGACGACTATTGAAAGCACCGTTAGGGAAAGAGAGACGGAAGAACAGGTAAGGAGAAAAATCAATTTGAAATAAAGATAACTAAGATTTTGAGAGAGACAGAAAAATCACAAACTATAATTTTCACAGTGTCCAAAATAGTTAGACCAAAGAAAATGACCTAGCAAGAATGTATTAACTTTCTCAACAATAAGACAATCAGTAAGAAGACAAGACATTCAAAATACATTTAAGTATCAAGATCTTATTGAGTTTACTAGGAAACAAACAACAAAATAAGGGTGTGTTTCCCCTTTTAATTTTTAAGGAAGAAAATATACATATAGAAAAGTACTTGTATGGAGTGTACAGCTTGACGTATTTTCACAATCTGACCATAATCCTAAAAAGAAAACTAAGATCAAGGAGCAAAATATTGATAGTACTCAGATGTTTCCCTTATATGATTTTCTAGTCATATCTCCCCTACAAAGAAAATATTCTGAAGCAAATACTAGTTTATGTAAAGTTCTAAAGTTCGGTTTATTAAGTTTTAATGTCAATTAATAGAATTTCTATAATTATAGGTGCCAGTTACATGGATGTTGTCAAAGACATAGAATCGTATAACTATAATCAAATTATAGAACATTAATTTCAGGGAACTTGACTAAAAAGTCTCATCACACCACTCTGCAGTCCATCGGGCAACCATGGATGTGTTCTGCACTTTTGTATCTTTGCCTTTGGCAGAACGAGATATCCGTAGAACCGCACTGTCACCTTTTGAGTTTGCCTTCTCTCACTTAACACAAAATATTTGGGATTCACCTGTGTGCTTGAATATACCAATAGTATTTTTGCTATTAATTTGTGAGTGGTATCCTGTTTTATGGGTGTACCACAGTTAGTTCTTTCTTTTCTACGAGATGGACATTTGAATTGCTTTCATTTTGGAAAAACGGTGAATACAGCCACTATTAAAAATGAGAACCCAGGTCTTTGTGTTCGTCTCTGTTTTCATTTCTCTTGCGTAAAGGACAGGATCAGATAGCCCAGTTATATGGTTAGTGTAACATAAAAAACTGTCAGATTGTTTGGTAAAGTGGCCACACCATTTGCATTCCTGCCAGCAATGGATGAGAGTTCCAGTTGCTCTGCGTCCTCGATAGCCACTCTATATTGTCATGATCGTACTTTTAAACTTTACTCATCCTAATAGGTGAATAGGATCGTGTTGTTGTTTTCAGTGGCATTTCTTTTCCTAACAAAAGATCATATTTTAGCACTTTTTCGAGAATGTATTAACCATCTGTATATGTCCTGGGGTGAAGTATTTGTTCAAGTTATGTCCATTTATTGGTTTTTTATATTGGAGTTAGAGTTCTTGATATATTAAAGATATATGTTGGATAGCTGTCTAAGAAAAATTTTGTCTGATCTGCCAAGCAAAGTGCAGTCTCTCCAAATTGGGCTTCCCTTTTGTCAATTTTGAGCTCCAGCACAATCTTCTTAAATGCTAATGCATAGCCTCTGAATTCTGTGAAAAACTGAAGAACGGGTGTTGTATTCATACTCTGAATGAAATACTAAAAGGGGGAGAAATGTACCCTCCCATATCAGCATAGTAATGACACAATAACTTTAAGGTATCTGTGATCTCTGAACTATGCGTCGCTGCCAAGATGTAGATTTCAGGATGGAGCAAAGCGCTTTGACTTAGAGTCTAACCCAGAGATTCCTTGGGAAGTGGTCTGAGAATATGTGAGCTGTGATTGTGCTATTGATTGCGTGGTATCTGCTCAAGGTAGTCAGGTATAATTATAAAGTTACTAATAATTGTGGTTATCGGAACCTAACTGATTTGAGGGTTATGAGATGAAAGTGTATATCAAACATTTTAAGGTAAACATTCAGTGCATCGGTGACTGTGTGCGTAAATGTATGTGTATTATTTACTGATATTCATATGTTGATGTGATGACCTAAGAACGTGACTATATTTGGTGATGGGCTCTTTGGAGAAATAGTTAAATTAAAATGAGGTCTTTAGTTTGGCCCTTAATCCACTAGGACTGTTGTCCTTATGAGAAGAGAAGGTAAGTCACAGAAATACTTGGAGAAGTGGTGATATGAAGACATGGGGAGAAGATGGTATTCTACTAACAGAAGGAAAACGCCTCAGAAGAATGCAGCCCTAACTTTATTTGATCTAAGATTGCTAAATCCTAGAACAGTGAAAATAAATATCTCTTGTTTAAGCTACCTGTCTGTGGTGCTTTCCTGCAACAACCTGACAAACTAATACAATCACTATCAGTGTGTGTGTATTTGCATATCTAAGAATGAATTAAGGAGAATTCAACTGAATGACAGAGCTTTTCTGCATGTGTGGAAACTGCACAGGTGGAGGTAAGTGTGACCTTTATATAAAATGGTCCAGGAAGAAAATGAAAGTATGAATACACTAAAATAACATTATTTTTTATTTTGATATTGAGACAATGAGCATGGTTCCTAATTGACTTAATTTAGTCATTAGTGTGAAGACGTACTTTATTGATACACCCATTTTTCCAAAACACTCTTTTCATTGCGTCTTTCACATCTTTGTTCCTCAAGCTGTAGATGATGGGATTCAGCATGGGGATCACAATTGCATAAAATGTCGACACTATCATGTCATGGTCCAAAGCGTAGCTGGAACTTGGCCTCATGTACATGAAGAGGATGGTTCCATGATAAACTGACACTCCTGTTAGGTGAGAGCCACAGGTAGAGAAGACTTTTCTCCTCCCCTCAGCAGAACGCATCCTCAGAATGGCCAACAGGATGAAGCCATAGGAGACCAGGACAATCAGGGTGGTAACGATCTCAATGGAACCCACAAAGTAGAAGAGCAGAAGCTGGTTTGTGTGAGTGTCAGAACAGGAAATAGCGAGGAGAGGAGGGATGTCACAGAAGATGTGTCTAATTGCATTGGAGGCACAGAAGGATAAGCTAAACGTGGCCACTGTGTGTATGTATGCATGCAAAATGCCACCAACATAGGAAGCAATGATGAGTGACACATAGATTTGGGGTGACATGCTAACTGAATACAGGAGCGGGTTGTAGATTGCCACATAGCGATCATATGCCATTGCAGCCAAGAGGAAGCATTCTGTGGTCCCAAATGTAACAATGAGAAACATTTGTGCCACACATCCAGTATAAGAAATGGCTTTGGTCTCATTCAGGAAATTGACCAACATTTTGGGTGTGACAGCTGAAGAACAACAAGCATCCAAGGATGACAACACACTCAGAAAATAGTACATAGGATTGTGTAGTCGAGAATCTTTAGCGACCAATAATACCATTCCCAAATTTCCTATCAGAGTAAACACATAGATTGCTAGAAATAGTAAAAACAGGAAGACTTGCACCTCAGAATCATCTGTGAAGCCCATCAATATAAACATAGTGACTTCAGTTACATTTTTGATCAGAATCCTGTGTAAATCGAAATGTGAATTCAGCTGTGACATTTTTATATTTATCAATAGACTTTAAAGCAGTATTTTAAAAAATAGCATCTCCACTATTTTATCCCCTTGACTTTTTCTTAAAAGGGCATATTGAAATCCTTCGGGTGGAGGGAGTAAGCAGTGATGAGGAAGCGGGGGCCACCGAATGCATTACCCTGTTAAATTAAAGATAATTTGTTAAATGGCTGGCTAAATTTGTCATATGTTTTAAAATCTCAATTTATGTGGCTTAATTTCCAATTTATGTTCTGTCACATTCACTTCCACCTAGTTTCATGTGCCGTCATCTAAACATTCAGTAAGGTAGAGGAATTTTAACTGAAAATATTATAATAGAAAGTATACGTCTGAATAGGACATCAAGATTTTCTACAGTGTGCATGAAATGCCTTTCCTTAACATTTACAATTGTTAAAATGAAGGCAGTCACACTTACGTAACAAGTTGTGTGTAAATGAGAATTGTATTGTTTAAATGAGAAAAACCATGTTAAAATTATTTTGAGATTATTTCTGATTAATGGTAAATGAGCTGAGTTTGAATTCCATTTCAACTTACCATATGGGGCAGGCTTTTCCAACCAAACCATTGTCTCATCTGTTTTATTGGCTAGTATTCCTTTCAACTACTATTTCTAGAACACTGGTGAACAGATAACAGACACCATTCCGGAGGGGGAGGTGCCTTGTACAAAAATCATGATAGAATATTGGTTTGGTTTGGTTTTTCAGTGTTCTTTCTTGACACACCTACCACTAAGTTGTCCATTTAGGCCTGCACAGTTTATATACTGTTAATGTTTTTCCAATAGAACTTAATGCATGTAAGGTTTTTTAATATTTATATAATTACTAGCCTTGTAAAATCCTTGGGTGCGTTTTTAAGACTTAGCTACGTCAAAAATAAATCATGACCATTTCTTGAATATATTACAGTTTTTTAAGGAGTCACTCAAATTATTATAAAAGAAAAACCACCCAGTAATAGATTGTAACATTTATAAAAGCTATTGTTAAAAGAGTAAAATTACAATATAAGCTACAAAGTAGTGTTTTGTTTCTGGTATATTTCCCTCTGCCTCCAGACTGTTTCTCATTTAGTGAATGTGAAAAGGAGGAAATTGTCTGTAAAGTTGAAGAGTCATGTGTGTCTCGACTGAAATTCTTCATGGTGTAAGAAAAACCAAAATGTTGCATCTTCTACATTTAGGTGCAAGATTTTGGGAGCACGATTCTTGTTTTTCTTCAGTGTGTCACAGCCTAAAGGAGTAAAAAACTATGGAGTACGGGCCAGAGACATACCCGTGATTTATATTTGTGACATGAAATACACACACTTTTGTCATATTGAGATGTTCACACATCAAGAAGAAACGAGAAAATATGCATATTTTTATTTTCCCAGATCCATGTGGAAGACATTAAATCATTCTCAGATGTGGTGATACAACACCCTCACGCAAAATGCTCATTTAATCCTTAGAGATTCTTGAGTAAAATATACAGTTAAGCTAAATTTCAACTTCTGTGTAAATACAGACAACTAACAGTACTATTGAGAACACACAGACACAAATGCGTTAGAGTAATTTTCAATTTACTTTGAATAGGTACATTAATAAAATTTAAAAAATCAATAACATAAATAAGTGCTAGTGCATCATTTGGACATCACAACACATTTCTTTCTGTTTTAAGAAAATTCTCATTCTCTCTCTTACTCAATCATAGATTATAAGCAAAAAAAAATTATGAAACAGATTGAGGACCAAAACTGGAATCAGGTAGATCAGAATAAGCACAGTGAAAACAACCAAAAATATGCAAGCAGCTTTAGAAAAATATACCAATGTGTAGTCTACAAACTACATGTTTGACTGCTATGCACAGGAGAGATTTCAGCAACAGCTCAATTGTAACCTTTACTTAAGGATGTGTTTGAGATAATAAAATTGTGGGAGATTAACATAAGTACGTTTCTACCCTAAAAGCCGGTATTAAAATCTCAGATTTAACATCTAGTACCTGTATAACCATGAAAAATTACTTTATTTCCCCAAACCAAAGAATAACTAAGATTAACCAAATTTTCAGGCACATCTTGTTCAGCAACATGAACATGGTGTGGTTCGAGAGTGCTGATTTATGAGGTGCATTACCATGTTCACTAAAGTGTTTTTATTATATGTGAGGGTACATCCATAGGAAACATGACTTCCAAATTTTATTTAACTACACAATATAAACATGGAGTTAGGAAATTAGACTTTCTTCAAGGATTTGAGTAATGCATTGAGCACCAAACCAGAAGCTAAGGCTTCTTCTTTTAGTTAAACATATTTTTTTAAATACGGCACTTAAGATATATTTAAATACCTTTCTCATGCGATTATGTCCAGTGAATGCCAATATTCTATGATATCAAGAACCTTAAAAAGAAAGAACTTTAAAATTCACTTCTGTCATTGCATTTTTGACTCTGGGCATGACAGTAGAATAACAATATGTTTGCTTAAATTCTTCTGATAATTTCAGGCGTGATGCTTTTCTCATAATTCTTGACTTCTCTGATTTTATCTGTAGTACTAGATAGGGGTTTCCGAATGAAGGTATATTTCACTTCCAAATTATGTCCCTTTGGAGCGTTCGCTACCTCACCGTAGAGAACTGAAGGAACGACAGCCAAAATGTACGGGATTCACCTACTTCATTGAAGATACTCTTCAGACAGGCATTTCAGTCAACTAACATTTAAGGACACTAGACCTGATTGTGTTTACAGCTAATTAATTTCACTTTAGGAGATAAGTGAGAAAGACCAATGATTTCAAAATTTAATAAAACATGATCATTCTGAAAAACCTAACTCGAAGGAATTCCTCAACCCTCATCTGGTCAGACATCAAAAATCACCACACATCCCTGAGAAGAGTAAATACAAACACTAAGCTGGAAATGAAGCCAAGTGATCAGAGCAGCTGCAAATGTTATAAAATGGCTACTGGGTGTTAGAGATTTTGTGTACATTATATTATGCCCACAGCAACCTGCAAACTAATGCAGCACCCTTTAATAGAGGAGAAAACTGAGCACCAGCCTGACTTACAACTTGATCAAAGTCACAGAATTACTAGTGGGTCCAGGATTCAAGGCAGCTTCTCTGTCTTCAGACTAAGCTCTTTTCACTTGATCCTGTCACTGTCTCATTGTGTGTGATATGCTGCACATTTGGGAATGGTATCCCCTAAACACAGCACAAAATATTATCCACATGGGCCTGGATTCGTTTACAAAGCCACAAACTCAAGTACCGCATTATATTTCTTTATAAAGACAAATTAAAGTGGCTTCTAGGTCTATTAGCAACCTAGTAAAATCAATTTAAAATTCATTTATATCCCTTCATGAGGAAAAACATTATGATTTCACAATGGTATACACCTAATGGTTGGTGAATAGTTACATTTTTCTTTTCGTCTTTATTGTCGTTTAAGCGCAGCTTCTCCACTTTCCCTCCACCATCTCCTCGCCTCACCTACCCCAGCCTCCCACCCTCCAACCTACCCCTTTGGCTTTGTCCATGTGTCCTTTATACATGTTGCTTGATGGCCCTTCTGCTTTTTTCTCCCATCTGTTCATCAATTAGAAATACAGTCCCTTATTTCTACTACCTTAATTCTGTTGTCTTCCATCAAGAAAATTAAATCCAATTTCTAATTTAAGAATTTATTGACATGATATGTTGTACTTTTCTAATTATCCCTGATAATTCCCTAACTCTCTCATTCAATTTTTAATTCAGCTCTAAGTTCACTAGAAATTTCTACCTCAGACATAAATATTGAGGCAAATAATCCAGTTTCAGATCGAGATAGTAACATCTGATATTTTTCTTAAGTGAGGACAAACCTCTCCTCTTACCTGTGGAAATGAACTGCTCACTCACTGAGGACATGCTATGAACACGGAGCATTTGGACTCTTTTATACCAGGATCTCAAGCTCTTCTTGAAGTCCGCAGGGATACTCCTAGAAGAAAACACCCTCATTCTCTTCTGGGACAGCAAAAGTACCAAGATTACTTTGCTGTTTTATATAGCAAATGAGAGGATAATTCTGGAGCAATAAACAATATGATAAAAGTGATTACACAAATGCATTTTGTCCTCTGTTATAAAAGGACTTTCAGTGAAAAAAGAATTTGAACAAGACTGTAAAATAAATGTAAAGACACTGAACATAGGCCTAGCTCTGACACTAAATAGCTATGTGCTATGGGTTGATAACTTAAATTCTCTGAAACCCTGTTTCTTCTTCCTGGGAATATAACCTGTTTACTTGTCTCAAAATCCCCTAACCATGCACATACTGAAATAGTCTCAAAGCATAAGCTATAAATGAATTCATCATGATTTAATAAAAATTACTATATTTATTTTAGAATTAATGGACTACACTTTAAGTGGTAAGAGAGATGGAGTTAAGATCACTAGCCTTTAATGGTGGAGATAAGAAATGAATATCTGAACTAGGATTATTGAGCACAGACATGGGACAGATGGTAATGTTCTATGTAACAGAACATTAGAATATTGGAGATCAGGCAGAGATAGCGACCAAAGCTGGAGTTGCATCAGGCCTTGTCTTCAGGGCCCACATTCCAATCTATAGACTAGCACAAGGGTATACACTTTTTAAAAGTAAATTTATTGGAGCAGCGTTGGTGAATACAATTAGATAAGTTTCATGAGTACAATATTTGACACATCATCTGTATATTGAACTGTGTGCTCATTACCCAAAGTCAGACGTTCTTCTTTGACTCTCTCTGTACCTGTAGTGCTCCCCTCCTTCTTTCATCTGCTGACCTCATACACTTGCTGTGTCTCGGAGTTTTCGTTTGTTTATTTATTGTTTTCAGTGTCATATTCCACATACGAGTCAAATCACATGGTTTTTGACTTTTCTCTGTTTGACTTACTTTGCTTAGCATGATATTCTC